GTTTCCAAAAACACTCATTTGTTCCATTTTCTAAGCACCTGCTTCCCAAGGGGAAAATTCAAAAAACCACTCAGCATGTTTCCTAGTACCATATTTTTTTTGTCCCCAAAAAAAGCACTTTTTTCCCCCCTAAAAGGGGGGGAAAAAGTCGTGCTCTTATGGGGCGAATTAAAGCGGCCGGGGCTGGATTTTTCCCTACCACCATGTCAAATACCGGCCGCCGCTCATCTTTTTCCTGCAGGCCTTACCTGTTCCCCGCTCCAGCGCTGTAGTTTCCCGTCGCTTCGTGCGCCGGGGGGCCCCCTGCAAAATGCGCGGAACGCTGGCTTTGTGAAAGGTCCGGGGTCTTCTGGGACACATGACAGGTCCCAAAGGCTCCGGGCCATTCACAAAGCGCAGCGCTTCTCACACATCGCATGGGGACCTGGCGTCACAGAAGCCCCCCACGGAAAAAGAAGGAAGGGCAACTCCGCGGGGGAAACGGAGCGGGAAAACCCTTTAAATTCAGGACCCCTCCCCTTCCCCCCCAAAAGGTCAGCGTCCTTTTGGAATTCCTTTTTCGTCGCAGTCTCGGGCCTCCCCTGCACTGCGAAAATCTCTGGGGCATCCCCTGCCTGTCTGCACTCTGTCTCTCCCGTATGTCTGAGTCTGGTCACCCCTCACGTCTGCATCCTGGGCTTCTGTACATGCCACAGTTCTGGTCTCTCCTGTACTAGTCCACAGTCTCTGTCATCCCCGTATGGTCCCCGGTCCCCTGGGAAAACCCCTCTACTGTGTCCGCGGTCTCTGGCATTCCCCGTACTGTGCCGCGGTCTCTGGTCATTCCCTGTACGTGTCCGCGGTCCCCCCTCTCCCTGTACTGTGTACCGTCTCTGGCACTCCTGTACTGGGTCCGCGGTCTCCCGGGCATCTCCCGTCGTGTCCCGCGGTCTCCGGGGATCTCCGTACGTGTCCCCATCTCTGGTCATCCCTGTACTGTTCCGCAGTCTCTGGTCACGCCGTCCGCAGTCTCTGGTCATACTCCTGCATACTGTCCGCAGTCATCGACATGTCATCTCCCGTGCATCCTGTGTACGCAGTCTCTGGTCATCCTGTACTGTTCCAGCAGTCTCTGGTCATCGTCCTGTACTGTGTCCGCAGTTCTCTGGTCATTACCCTGTACTGTGTCCGCAGTCTCTGGTCATCTCCTGTTACTGTGTTCCGCAAGTCTCTGGTCACTATCCTGTACTGTGTCCGCAGTCTCTGGTCATCTCCTGTACTGTGTCCGCAGTCTATGGTCATCCCTGTACTGTGTCCCCGCAGTCTCTGGTCATCCTGTACTGTTGTGCAAGACAACATCCCCTGTTTGGTCAGTACCAACTGGTCAGCCCAGCTGGTACTGTGTCTGCAGTCCCCTCATGTCTCTCCTGTACTGTGTCCGCAGTCTCTGTCAACTCCTGTACCATGTCCCGCAGTGTCTGGTCATCTCCTGCTCATCAGCCAGTAAGGCCACTGCAACCTTTTCCCCGACCTCCGGGACTTGCGGCCCTAACCCGGCAACCCGAAGCCGCGGCCTCGATTTTTGGCGCGGAACCGACCCCCGGATCGCCCGGCATCACCCAGCCGCCGCTGCTACTGTTCCCCCCCTTCCACCGGTCCCCGCCCGATCAACCAGCCTCCCCAGGGCCCCCTCACTGGCCCAGGGTCCATCCCGACCACCGGGTATCCAGCTCGCCGCCCGGAGCAGGCCCCACGTGCTCGTCAGCTCCGGCGCCCCCCCGCGCCGCTCCGAACCTGCTGCCATCCGGGCCCCCTGAGCCTGCTGCCGATGCATGTCCCCCCCACCAACACCCTGAATGGGACACACCGACACTCCGTCCCTACCAGCGGAGCTCCGCGGTCCCAAGCGGCTGTGAGGCCCTACCACGGCACCCGAAGACCGCGGTGTTTCCTGCCGGCCGTGGCTGGAATCGCAGCGGAAGCCTCCGCGCCTCCGGGGAAGCTACCAGCCACCAGCACCAACGTGTCCTCCCTAACATAGGAGGGGGAAAAATCGACGTTGGCTGGACATCGCACGGCTCCACGCACTTCGAAAGTCTAACCATTCGGGGCAAATACAATAAGTCAGAATTTTTAGCTCGTAACACCACCATATTTAATTACAGTTATCAGGATTAATTAATTAATTTATAATCACCGAATTCCTAATGTCAACACTTCCTAAAATTATCCCTGGAGGGATTTTTACCTATACGCTAGGGATTAACGGAATTAATTTCCCATTACATATAAGTAAATACTATAAAATACTAATATGGATTTTTATATCTTATATAAATTTTATATAATTTATTTGAATATTATTATATTATATATTAATATAATTTTTATAATTAATGAAAGGGGGGATTGTTATTCATATTGGACCGAAAACATTACATATTATTTAATTATCCATACTCTTAATTTAATTCCATATCACGCCTACCTCCCCTTCCATTGATCTCCATCATTTATACCTTTTATGGTATTTCTGCCATTACACCTAACCCTCACCCTTTTATCCGGGGGAGCTTTATTTATCTTTTATTACATTAAATGATTTTTACCCGGGCACAACGGTATTTAAAGTTCATAACACCATATTTTGCACCCACACATCACCCCCTTACCCCCGCCATCCACACCGGCAGAACCAAATTATCCCCACCATTTTTCCCCCCTAGCCATCCACCTCAACCTTCAAACCATCCTCCTAACCAATATCAGCGGGATCCCACGACCCACCCATACCAGCGAATAACCTAATTTTATTTTACCACCTGCCACACCCTAACCACTCCGCCCCTCCCTCGCTACTAACACCAAATCCCCCCAGCAGGGATTTTAGCAACACCACCCGGAACACCCCCCAAATTTATCCCCCACCCAGGGATTACCCCAGCCCATCCACCCCACCTAGGACATACCCCAATCCCACTCCCCTGCGTTTCGGACATTTTCGCCATTACTGACCACATCCCCCTCACCCACCCTTACCCTTTTCCTGCACCCCGCTCATCTATCCCAACATGCCACCGCCTGCCTTCCTCACTCCTCCTTGTCCTCCTCTCCCTCCATCCCTAAATGACCGCCCTTCCTCACCTTATTCCCACCTCTACCCTAACCCCAATGATTTAGCCCCTCTATATCGCCCCCATCACTTTCTCCCCTCTCCCACTACGGCACCCACCACCTCCCCCTGCTACACCACTACCCCGCTGTACCCAATTGCCACCATTTCATCAGACCCAAGCGCATCCTACACCTCCCGTTCCCACGCCACCTCCCCCTCACCCTCCTCCTTCTCATATCAGCCTGGGGACATCATCCCCAAACCTGGCCCCTCACCACCATCACACCCCCCCTAGAGCCCCCCCTATTTCACAGCAGCCGACGCGACCCCCTTCAACCATAATTAACATACATGTTACCCCTCTCCCCATAATATATCCCCCCTTTCTCGGTTGCACTCCTAGAAACGTTCGGTTTGCAATAAGCTTACCCCGCCATCCATGACCTCTTCATCCGGCTACTTCCCAATTCCCCCCCAGCCCCCTAACCCACCCCCCCCCCCCCCCCCCCCCCCACTCAACCCCCCACCCCCAGGACCTCGCTCTTTTCCCACCAGTCTGTACCCTCAAACCATGGATCTGGCGCGAACACCCCCTTCCCTCTCATCCGACCAACACCTTATCATCACCTTCTCCATCTCCCCTTCCCCAACTCTCCCCCCCTCAAAAACGCCAAACCATCACCAGCCGCAACCTCCGCAACCTGAACCCGGCCCCCCTCCACTCTGCCGCCGACTGCCTACACGACATGCATCCTCTCACTGTCATGTCCCTGACATAGCCACCACCTTGTACAATGACTCCACTGTCAGCTGCCCTAGACTCTCTGGCACCCCCTTACCACACGCATCATCAAACCCTAGACCGCTTCAACCCTGGCAGACCGACAGCACTAAACGCCATCAAACGTCGCAGTCGCGCACTGGAGAGACTATGGCGCAAAACCAGGTCCCCTCATACTTTTCTCCCTCTACAAATCTGCATTTCTTATCTTACACCTCCTCCCTCCCACGCCGCCAAGCAGGCCTACTTTGTTAACCTAATAAACACCCTCTCCTCCTGCCCCCGCCGACTCTTCTCCACCTTCAACTCCCTGCTGTTGCCCCCCCCCCCCCTCCTCCACTCAGTACCTTCCTTCTCTAGCACCGCCCACGATTAATTGCCACCCATTTTCACAACAAGATTGACGCGCTATCCGTAAGGACATCGTCAACTTGCAATCTACCTCCCCACCTAAGCCTCCTCGCCCCGTCACCCCTTCCACCCTTCTGCCCCCCCCCTCCTCTGCCCTCACAAACCGCACTGCCCCCCCTCCTCTCACCAATGCCCCCGCCCACCATAACCCCGCCCCCCCCAGCACTGCACTCCCTCAGCCCTGTCACTACTGAGGAAGTCGCCAAAGTCCTCTCAAAAGCCCGCCTCACTACTACCTGCCCCCTGGACCCTATCCCCTCTCAACTCCTCCGGTCCCACCCCCCTCTTCCCTCATCCGCTCCCTCACCCACATCTCAATCTCCCTCTCTACTGGCGTATTACCCGCCCCCCTAGTCTAAGCACGTGCATATCACCCCCATCCTCAAAAAAGCCCTCCCTGGATCCCGCGGACCCCAACAACCTCAGACCCATCTCCCTGCTGCCACTCACCTCCAAGCTCCTTGAACGCTTTAGTCTACGATCGCCTAAGCTCCCACCTTACTGACAAGTTTTTAACCTCCTTGACCCTCTACAGTCCGGCTTCCGTCCCATACTACTCTCCACTGAAACCCGCCCTCCTCAAAATCACTAACGACCTACTTAACGCCAAAGCCAAGGGCGACTACTCTGTCCTCCTTCTCCTGGACCTCTCTGCGGCCTTCGACACAGTTGACCACCCCCTCCTTCTTAATAAACTACTCTCCCTTGGCATCGGAGATGCTGCTCTCTCTTTTTCTCATCCTACCTATCCCGACGCTCCTTCAGTGTCACCTACAATGGTGCCACCTCCCCTCTCCTCCCCCTCTCTGTTGGGGTCCCCCAAGGCCTCTGTCCTTGGACCCCTTCTCTTCTCCATCTACACCTCCTCCCTGGGCAAACTCATACAATCTCACGGCTTAAATTAACTATGTCCCCACACTCTATGCTGACGACACCCAAATCTACCCTCTCCACCCCCTCACCAGATCACCCCCCACTATCTCCGCCCGCATCTAACTCACCTCCTATTATAAATGACATCTCAGATTTGGATGTCGCTACTATTTATTCCTTTAAGATTAACCTCTCCAAAACCGAGCTTCTCAGTCTTTATTAGTTTATTTATCCCACTGCCCACACCCCCCCCCCCCCATAATTTATCCATCATTTCACACCCCCCCCCACTATCCCCTCCATCGCCTACACTCCACATACTTCCGCCCCGCAAGCCAAAGTTCCTTGGCGTCATTCTTGACTAGCGAACCTCTCCCTCCAACCGCATTCAAATACTCACAAACAACATGCAGGCTCCATCTTCGCAACATTGCCAAGATCCCGCTCCTTTTCCTCACCCCAGACACCACCAAACTTCTATTTACACTCCCTCATCATCATCACGCCTTGACTACTGCAACTCCCTCCTCACTGGCCTACCCAAGTGCAGGCTATATTCCCCGCTCCAGACCATCCTGAACTCAGCTGCCAACTCATCCATTATTACCACCCGCTCCACCTCTGCCACCCCCCTCTGCCTCTCCTCCACTGGCTCCCGATTGCCCAACGCATCAAAATTAAACTCCTTACCCTGACCTACAAAGCCGTTCACAACACTGCCCCTGACTACCTCACCAATCTGATCACCAGGTACCTACCCTACCCGTACCCTTTATATCCTCACCAGGACCTCCTTCTATCCTGCTATCCCTGGTCTCCTCCTCCCATGCACGACTGCAGGACTTCTCCAGGTCCTCCCCCATCCTCTGGAACTCACCTGCCCCAATCCATCAGACTGTCGCCTCCCTTCTCTATTTCACCCATTCAGGCGCTCCCCTCAAAACCAACATCTCTTCAGGGAAGCCTACCCCACCCTCACCTAACGGCCATCCTCCCTTTATCCTACCCTACCACTTCATCCCCCCCACTGCCACTTCCTACTGTACCTTTACCCCCTCCCTCCTAGATTGTAAGCTCGTAAGAGTAGGGCCCCTCTTACCCCTCGTACGCTGTCTGTCTAATTGTTTGTACTGTGCCATGTATTGTCCCCCCCTATATGTACAGCGCTGAGCAAACCCTTTGGCGC